CATCCATCTCTTAATTTTCTTTTATCATCTGTGTACTAAGATAATGTATTCCATAAACTCGGAAATATTTTTGAAAGGAGCGACTTTAGTGCATTCCTTCATCCTTTAAACACACAAGAACAGTTTATTTATTTTAATAATTATGATTGTAGAAACGTTTCTTCTATGTGGCTCAGTGGTCTGGGGGTATATGATTCCGTGACTTGCTATAAATGTGTTAACTAAACATAACTTCCCGGCAGATGGACAACACTTGTTACACTCAAGGTATCTCAAGTGCAGTAAGGGTTGGCCTCACGAAGATGTTACAGGCATTCGCTAAAAGTAAGCTATGAATTCCTCAGTAACTACGGGTTTGGAAGTGCGCTTTTGGGACTATAGTCTATTCGCAGTTTCATCAAACTTTTTGAATTAAACCTTTGAAAAAACACCCCATGTATGATGAATCTGTTTGTTTACAATATATATAGTATGTATCACAAGCGTTTTATATTTGTCTGAACATAAAAGTACCCTATTTTTTTTATTAAATTAAACCTTTGCTTATATTTTATCTATAAGTTATAATATTTCATTTATATATAAATATGCGTATAACAGGTAGAAAATAGGCGAGTTGTTAATGGCTAGTAAGCAATGGTTCTTATAAAAAAATTTGAATGAATGCGGTGCGCTGTCCTCTTGGAGTATTTCCTAGACTAGGTTAAGCTGTGTTTGCATGAGGCGGAGGAATATCCTGGAAGTAGAATCTTAGCAGGACTTTATAAAAATGTGAAGTAACGGTGTAAATTCTATAGATAGATCCGGCATCTGTCTGTGACCACGAATTACATAACAAGTTACGCAAAAAATTGGAAAATGGGAAAGTGCTACAAAATTAATAGCTCGATTTCAAAAGAATAATAATGTGGATTGTTTTCTCTACTAAATTCCTAGAATCTACAACATCTTTAATCATTACACACGAATTACTCTCCCATAAGCTATCAGCTTAAGATAAGCATACCTGATGCGGATATAAATATCTACTTTCACCTGGTTGGTCATTATAGACTGTTCAGTTTTCCACGAATAAAATCAGAAGCAAAACTTTATTGCTTTACCTGCACTGGGTGGGATCGATTTGAAAATAATGTATTATTATTATTGCATATTTCTTCGTGTCCATTCAACAAAAAAGGCATATGTAATTAAATATCCCTAGGTAATACAAATATCTGTACTCGCTGCTGACAGATTAATAATCAGTCGTGATAACTCAAACTAGGCTTACGCGCCTGCAATGAAAGGATGACAAATTCAGTTATATTGAAATAATTTGATGTTAGCAGTTTTGTAGTATTTTAATTGCTTTGTACATTTAAACATTACCCAGTGTAGTATAACAATTTTTTTTTAGCCAGTTCAATAAAAGATAATAATTATATCCTTATCTTTACTTTTTTCGTATACGATTTAGCTCTATATATTAGGCTCCACTACACTTTTCAAAAGGTATAGATAACAAACATATATTTTCACTAGACTTTAAACGATACAATGAAATTGTACCTTGGCTAATTAGTTATTCATTTTTCAAAATTGGAGTCTTGTAAACTGGGCTTATGGAATAAAGCCTGTTTGCTGTCAGTAAGAACGTTGACTTCCTTTTGAAATTATAACTGAAAAATACCATTGCAATAGTGTAACTCATATTAACTTGCGAAAAAATTACTTCGGTCATTATCTGTATCTACACAGTTATAGATCCAATGTCTTCCAATTTCTTCCAACCAGGCAATTAGCTATATGTGGTAAAATATATTGGACGTAAGCTGTTACGAATAGACATAAAAAAAAATTAATATTATCACATTTAGTCTCATAGTTTATAGTTTTCATTTGATATGCTGAAAATCCTTTGACGTATTTTTTTTTCAGAGATCTGCAAAAATATTAATGTAGCAATATTTATTTGAAAAAGAAAATATAGAAAAGACATGATATGTCCGAACACCAGAGTATAACAGTTTTATAGTAAGACATGGTCGACACTACTGTATTGCAAAACATTGGGAAAAATTCACTTTGTCCGGCATTCCAACGTAATAGCAATCATTCTGATTTACGGTGGAACTAGTGCATTGCCATCCCTGCTAGGTGAACCCATAGTGAGTACAGATGATCGTAATCATTACATTGACCTGAACATTTTCATTGCTTTGGCTTTAAAACAATTAATAAAAAGGGCTTCTAGCCCTTGGACACACAAAATGCGTCCTGGTAGACTACCGTCTGAAATATAAAGACATAACAGATGCCTATAGATACGAAATATAATATACTGTATAAGCAAGAAATACAAAGAATTCCACAGCATGTGCCTCAGTGGTCAGGCGCTTCATCGCGCAGTATGGACAAATGGCATTACCTACAGGCACTTCAAGGCGTGAAACAAACACTCATTGAATTACCGGCCGGAGTAGGCGTCACTACGAGACAAACAACATCGAAGGACTGTGAATGTAGTTCCGAGGGCGCAACTCAAATGGACCAATTTGCATTGGGACACAATACGGAAAAATATAGCAGATGTCGAACTACCCACCGCACTCCGAGCGTCTGCATATTCCTTTGTCAACGACTTAACTCCCACTAAGATTCGACGTAAACGTATTTTCCTTGACGCTGACGGCCGATGCGTCATATGTGATCGCCGTGATACAGCACTTCATCGGGTTACCTACCAGCTGTATCTATTCCCGTCCCTCATGGACCTGGCGTCGACGTCGCATGCATTGCACGAAGACTCGACGTGGCAGCTGATGACATACGTGAGGAGACGCTCTGCTGCCTTGATTTGACAGCCTTCCCTACCGTCAGACGGAGAGCGGTGGTCTGTCTACTCACGAACTTGATTCACTTTACTGTCAGTAGGCCGTCACACTTTCACTTACGTGACTTTGTTGACGGACTGCGCAGGGCGAGGTGGCTGATGGTGAAAGATAATACACTGAACAAAATATATGGGCATTGTTTGTTTTTCTTTTAAAGTGTATCTCTGAGTGTGTGTGTGTGTATGTCGTAACTTCTTCATTTGTAATAACAAGTTCGTGACCATAGTGAGGGCATGCGCACTCGAGCCTCTGTCCACTATTGTATTCCCTGTATTCTAAAGTAAAAATACTCTACTTCATAGTAAAAGAAACTGGACTAGGGGTATGATTCCTGCTTTGGGTTCAGGAGGTCCCGGGTACAAATCCTGGCTGATCCCGGGGCGGTTTTCTTTATTTGACTTGGTTTTCGGAAAAGGAATTGCGAAATAATTGAAACCATCTTGCTTTACTAAAACGTGGCCAGATCGTTACGTACTTAATAAAATTAAGTAAGATAAAACCATAAACATGTGATACAGTACCAAGACAATTAAAATACAGGAGTAACAACTCGGCATTGGAATTAAAAAAAAAAAAAAAAAAAAACTCGTAAAATGAAGCCAGCATGGAATCAACTACATGACGGAGGAAGGACTCGGAGCATCAACCTCTGATGTAGGCCTAGTCCGTCTAATGGATTGAATGATAGGGTTCACTAGCCTGAAATATTTACGTGGCCATCATTTTGAAAATATGAGCCTGGGTCAATAAACACGCATAAGTTTACATTGCCTACCATAATGCAACTTGTGTGAAGAATTTTGTGGAAATCGGTCTATTGGTCTCCAAGATATGGCATTGTTCCTCCATTGTTCATGTGACGATCTTCATAAACAGAGAACTAATGTTTATGTATTATCAGATTTGATGATTTTCATTGATACAATATACAAAGTTAAACGTAAATACGTTATATAATTTCGTTGATATAGCACACTAAGCTAAAATGTTTGTATGGATGTTATTCGTAAAATAAGCGACTCACACACTTAAAATACATAAATTAATATGGCCTACCACACTACAACTTCTTCGACAAATTTGAAAGAAATCGGTTGATTGTTTCCCGAAATACAACATGTGGCATTTTCTTACAAAATGGTGAAGAAATAAGGTTTTGCATAGACAATTTTGGTGGATAAAATTGTTACTGTCAGCATACAAGTTAAGTTGAAATTCGTTCCCTAGTTTCGTAGATAAAAAATTCTGAACAAATATTTTATATGGCTACCATTTTGAAAATATGTGTCTTTGACCCTCTTAAAGTTTACCAGTTTACGTGGCCTGCCATAATACTACTTATTTGTTGTGTTTGTGTTTTTTCAATTTTCTTGTATGATTATTATTTCTGTAATTTTATTTATTTGAATTTTTCTATTTATTTATTTATCTGACAAAATTCCTTGTAGGATTTAGTATACGTCTTACATATATATTTTGACTTCAGCCACTCTTGGCTCGTTTTTCGTGTTTGTTTCATGTCTCAGACTTGGTTTACTGTGACGACATAAAGTAGCAATGAAGTATGTTCAACAAAATATTTCACCAAAAGCAAACATATTGCGCACAATTTTGGAATAACATTTTCTAGAAAAAAAGTGGGCTTATTTTACATCACACTGCTGTAGATCACCAACAGTAGGTGAAACACATTTCACCAAAGTTAGTTTCGAGTGAGAAGTGTCTAGTTCTCCCACCTGTAGATCAAATGGGATTTAAACATACGGCCTGTCAATTTAGCACTTCTAGGTCTATTCTAACTGACGAAATAACTTAAGTTACTTACTTTTCGAAGAATATAAGATTTCGAATTAATGCTTATAGGTGACACAACAAACGTATGCATTTAAAAAATGAAACTACTCAATTGAACATGATAGGTTCGGTTTGCATTGGTAATTCCAAAGTGCGCGAACATCTGTGTCTTATTTTTCAGTTATAATCTGTGTACTAAAAGAATGTAATCCAAAAACTCGAAAATGTTAATGAAAGTATCGACTTAAGTTCATTTCTTCATACTTTAAACAAACAAAAACTGTTTCTTTATTTCGAATATTTATGTTTATAAAATCGACACTTCTGCTTGGCTCAGTGGTTTAAGGGTATGATTTATACTTCGGGTGCAGGAGGTCCCGTGTTCCAATCCCGGCTGGGCCCGAGACATTTTTTTGCTGATTTACATTACCTTTATGGATAAATCGTTTCGAGAAATCAAAAATACTTCTGTGACTTGCTATAACTTCCCGGCTGATGGACAATAGTCACTATACTTAACGTATCTCGAGTGTAATAAGTGCTGGCCCCTCTGAAAGTGTTAAAAGCATTCGTTAAAAGTTATCTATAAATTCCTCAGTAACTAGAAGTTTTGAAAGTGGTTTTTTTTTTTGGACTAAAATATATTGGCGTTTTTATCGCACTTTTTGAATTAAACCTTTGTGAAATCACCCCATGTATGATGGGGTTGGTTATTTCCAATATATGTCACATTTCACAAGCGTTGTATACTCGTGTTAACATTAAAGTACCTTATTTTTTATGAAATTTATCTTTTGTTTATATTTTATCTCTCAATTATAATACCTATTTCGTTCGTAATAAATATGGATAAAAACAGGCAGAACATAGGTGAGATACATAGTAAGTCTTGTAAAAATGTTGATTACGCTGAGTGCGCATGAATACGGTGTGTTGTCCCTTCGGTGAAATTTCCTAGATTCGGTTAAGCTTAGCTTGCACGAGCCAGAAGAATATCCTGGAAGTAGAATTTTAGCAGTGGTTCAGATAAGTTTGAAGTAACCGTGGATTATCTATAGATAGACCCGACACCTGGCTATGACGGCGTCATAACACATAACATAACAAGTTAGGAAAAGAAAAAAAAAAGAGATTGTAAATGGGAAAGTGTTACAAAATAAATGACTTGATTTGAAAAGAATAATAATGTGGATCTTTTCTCGACTAAGCTTCCTAGAATCTACAACTTCTTTAATCATTTCATACGAATTACTTGAAAAGCATGCATGATACGGATCTAATATCTACTTTCACCTGGTTAGTCACTACAGACTATTCAGTATTCCACGAATGAAGTCCACAGCAAAATATTTGTTGCTTTACCTGCTCTGGGTGGGATCAATTTGAAAATAATGTATTATTATTATTAATATTATTATTGCATATTAGTTCGTGCCCATTCGGCAAAAAAAGTATATATAATTAAATATGCCTAGGTAATGCAAATATCTGAACTCGCTGTTAACGATTTTTAAAGTGCAGATTAATAATCAGACGTGATAATCCAACCTAGGCTTAGCCGCCTGTACTGAAAGAATGACAACTTTAGTTATATTGAAATAATTTGATGTTAGTGACTGTTTAGTAGTATTTTCATTGCTTCGTACATTTAATCATTATCCAGTGTAATATAACAGTTTTTTTTTAGCCAGTTCCATAAAAGATAATAATTTTATCCTTATATTTACTATTTTCGTATATGATTTAGCTCTATATATTAGGCTCCACTAAATTTACAAAAAGGTTTAGAAAACGAACAATTATTTTCTCTAGATTTCAAACGCTTTAATTAAATTGTACCTTGGCTAATTACTTACTCATTTTTCAAAATTGGAGTCATAAACTGGGTTTATTGAAAAAAGCCTGTTTGCTGTCAGTACTACCATGGACTTCCTGTTGAAATGATAACTGAAAAACATCATTGCAATTATAAAGGGAATAATTCCTCCATGATGTAAACCACTTCCGGATTTTTCTTTGGCCCTCTTTTTGACTGTTGATAGCGGTAAAGTTAATTTGAAAATTTTGACTTCTTTCAATTTTTTGTGTTTTTCTCGCAATTAGAGCATTTGTTAAAAATGTATCTATACCCAAATCTTTTAATTCCTCAAAGGGAATATCGAAAGTTATATTTGTTATCTTCATTTATATGTGTATATGTATATATATATATATATATATATATATATATATATATATATATATATATAATATATATATATATATATACAATAAAACATTTTACTTCCCCAACCTAATTTTCTTTTTGTAAACGTTGTTGAGGCAATGGCAGCAGAAGCAATTTTTTCTCCAATCGGAGTGTTTTTATCTAACATGATTTATTTAGCTTCCTTTTGTAAAATTGTATCAACTTCGTGAATAGAATCTAAATCTTTATGATCTCTATAGGCAATATCGTGATATTTGCATGTTTCATCTTATTTATTTATTCCTGTATCGCCTCTTTACAATCTTTCATCTAATTTTGTAAATGGTCCACAATAATTATAACCAGGCAAATGCATTTCGAGTAAATTTAAATTTTTTAATGCCCAGTGTATAATGCCTTCACCATGATGTTCAGAATTCCCAAATGAGCGTGGAATTACATTTAAAACTCTTATTAGGTAGGGAATTCCTTTTGGATTATTATCAACAAAATCAGAAAATTTATTGTTTAGCAAATTCACTATATTTACTTTTTCATTGTAAAAATTTTTATTTCCAGCATTTTATTCACCGTGAATAACTAATAATCTATCAACCAATTTTCTAACATCATCCATCCAAACATATTATTTTGGCAAACTATTGTATTTTATACCTTCTCCAGATATAGGAGTTATTGGAGAAATTCTTTCTGATGTGTTTGGCTCTGATCTTGATGCTCTTATATAATCATCATAAATCGGTCTAGTTATATTATTGTACTTCCAACCTCCACTCGAAGCTACCTTTTTATTAGGATTATATTCTCGGAATGCAGCATTGGTTCTTTTAACAATTTCTGCATAATTTTCATAATTCTCATAATCAAGTTTACCCTTACAAGCTTCTGGTGAATTTTCTGTTAAGAAATTACAAATTCCTGCTGATAATTTATATTCTTTATCCTTAACAGAAAAGTGTATAATTATTTATAGGTACTTTTGTATTACCAATGTAAAAATCTTGCCCAACTCCACATAACCAAATTTTTCATCAATAGCAGTAATTCTTTTTGTAATTTCTGTTCCAGATTTATAGTAGATACAGACACTGCATGTGGTAAATTTTCCAATTGTACAATTCCCATTTGCTCTTCCAAATAGGAGATTTTTGTTATGAGAATAATTAATTCTCTTTCGAATGATGTTTGTTCTGGTGTTGGCGGTGGCGGATAATCTAAATCTTCTGGTGTTGGCGGTGGCGGATAATCTAAATCTTCTGGTGTTGGCAGTGGCCGATAATCTAAATCTTTTGCTGCTACAGGAACTAGTGTTGTTATTAAATCCTTATCGTCTTCACTTTTTTTTTCTACTTTTTTTTTTACCGAAATTTTGTAATTAGTGGATTAATGGTAATTCTTTCATCTTATTTTTTTCATATTCCTTTTCATGATACTTTTTATGTTTATATATATATATCAATGAGTAATTTAACTCAAGAAACACCCTTTGATTCTGTCATTTATATATGATTTTTTTACTTACAAATGAGTTATAAAAATATTGAGAGTTTTGAGAGGCAGACTTTTACTCCAACATATCAAACTAGGGGGAATTTAAATGTTTACAATAATATAATCGAATTTGATATTTCTATAGGAGATGGCTTTTCTTTTCCAAATGACGCTTATGTTTATGAGCAATTTAGTTTACTAAAGAGAGATAAGGTTGGAATTGCGGAAAAATATGATGAATCAGATAATATTGATGTTCAAACTTATTTCCTTTCCAATTTTCTAGAGTAGAAATCTCAAAACTTGGATATATTATTGATGCTGTTGATAAACCGGGTATAACAACAATGATGAATGCTTTATTAAGATCACCAAGTGAACAAAATTATTTAGAATTTACTGGTGTTGATAATCTACATCGGCATAAATCTGTTTCTAGTGATATAACAAAAAAGGTTAAAACTTTTTCTAGTAATAAAACAAATGAAATAATCTATCCTCTTAGATATTTGTTTGCTTTTATTCGTGATAACAATGAAGTTTATTGGAAAGGTGGTTACAATATTTTTTTTTTTCGTAATTCATCGGATAACAACTGTTTATTTCTTTATGAAACTTTAGATAAACATAATAACGTTACGAAACATTGTCCTGATCGTGGTAAAATTGATATTAAAAATTTAGAATCATGTGGCCCTTGCAATTAAAGAAAAAGTATACAAATATCCAAAAATACCTATAAGTTTTGATTATTGGCAATTTTTAGAAAAAGGAGTTTCTGCTGGTTCGACTGTTTTTAGCTTTGATATAAAAGATCAGTATAATAATTTTCAATTTCTTATGATTATTGTAGTGTAAAAAATATTTCTTTTAAAAATGGTAAAAATGAAATTTTTCCTAAAGAAAACTGGAACCTTGACATTGAAAACGGTGTTTATCTTAAGCAATATTTTGTTTATATTGATTTTAGAAATTCAAAAACCAAACTAGATACCGGCTGTAAAAATAATGAACTTTATTATAAACCATCTGTAAACTTTGATGGTGATATTAATAACCATTCATTTTGGGAGCGAAGACCTTTATATGTTATTAATTGTTCATACAGAAAAACAACCGTCGTTAAATAAAAACAGACATAAAAATTAGTGTTGATTTTAATAAAGACGTCGAAGCGGGTGCCGTTTGTAATGTTGTTCTAATTAGTCGAAAGAATCTTACTTACCATTATTTGAAAGAAATAATTACTAAAGATTTATACATTTTAATATTATTAAATGGAGGATGTAAACGATTTTACAGAAACAAGAAACTGTTTCGATATTTTAATACAATTTTTTAGATGCATTGTTAAGTTGTTTGATCGAATAAAAACCTTTTTGTTAAACATGAATGAGCTTTTTCTTTCAATGATTCATGTATGTAATTGTGCTCTCTGGGATGTGTTATTATAGTTCGCTTACGAGTGATGCACCTTTTTGTTAAACCCGAAATAACATTTTTTTCTTTCTCTTAGTAAATTTTTCTTTTATAAATAAAAATGCTTGTGTTACCTTGCAGTACGAGAAAGCTTTTTAAAATGGCTGTAAATCAACTACGCTTTCTTATAAATTAGATAATGCTTCTTACGAACGCAGAGAATTAGTTTACAAATTTCCATCGAAATCTACAAAGTTTACAATTAACACTCTTCGAAAACATT